AAGAGGGGCAGACCGCTCAGTTCGACAGATGCGCTGTGAACAACGATGAGAGCGACGATGAATTCAAGCGGCTACCCGACTCTGATGAGAGATCAGACACCAGCTCTGACCCCTCTGTCAAGCGTAAGAACCAAGCCTATCATTTGCCCTATATCCCACCGCAAGATGCGGATGGACAGCCAGGGCAGACCGAAGAAGAAGCGCGAGCTTCAAAGCACTTGTGAGTGTCGTCGACAAGAAGTGAAGGCGAAGGCGTTTCCAATGAAGAATATGAAAACCACCGACGTTCTGCTGGCCAAGAACACCGCAACTTTGTACGATATGTTCACGCGCATTTGAGGGAAGTGCAAAGTGGTGCCGTCCCACGGCATCCCTTACCTCATGCAGAACTAATTAATGGAGATCAAGTTCGAAGAAGGCTCAGTCCTGACTGGATTCTTCCTAAAACTGTAAAACGCGGTGAGAGCTACAGAAGTAGCCACCGAGTCAGTGATGACCGAGGGACAGAAGTCACTATACCTGTTCCCCTCGATGACCAATCATGGAAGAATAACTACCTATTTGAATGGACCAACAAATGTATGAGGGCCTATAGCAGAACATTGAAGGAAAGAACAGTGGTTTACAAGCACAGAGGTGCTACAAACTCCCAAAGGGACCACCCGAGACTAATGCTACCAATATGAGTGGACGCCAACGGCCACCGGACCGCCTCCCCAGATCAACCGTTATCCTAACGGTGTCGACGTATACTTTTACTGTGCCCAACCGCATCACAATATTTGCCGACGCTGTGGCCTGCAGAGAGAGCTCAGATTTTGTCGAGTGATAGCCGGTGCAGTCTTCCATGTTGGCATCGCTGTTACAAGCACCAAGACGCATAACCACTCGTACCGTTGCTCAAATAACAGAAAGAATTGATGCAACAACGGCAGGAAATACAGAGGTGAGAAGAACAAGCGAGGGAATAACGACAAGGGTCGGAATCGTGAACGCGGCAATAACCGCACATTGGAATCTGACGGCGAAGCCGACGACGATGACAACTGCAAAGTATTTCGCCAAAGCCGTCGTGAGGTTGCGTTGTTATGTCGCAAAAAATCCTCCAGAGTGTCTCGCCGCCAAACCTAACGTACAACTGGATCCTACATGGACCATCGACCCTGATTGTACGCGTCACGTGACGGAAGAGATCAAGTGGTTCGCTGACATTGCGGCCTGTGGTGGCTCTATTACTGTTGGGGATAACAACCAGATTCCGATTGAAGGAATTAAACGTGTTGCGTTAGCTGTCACTGATGCCAAAAGCAACTAGAAGGCGCTCATCGCGCATGACGTCCTCTACGCTCC